AGTAAGTATATGAAGTTCTTTTTTTTAATCATTTTGTTGAACTTTGCTATTTAAGTTTATAAAATTTTGCCCATAAAGCATGCCATAGATTTCTCTTTGTTAGTAATCAATAACAATTGCGCATTTATTCATTTTATTAATTTTGTCCATTTAAAATTTCATAAACATTCGTTAACGACCAATCATTTTTTGGATTCAGTCCGTGAGTAGAGATTCAATTGCTAATCTTGGATTTATATAAAATCATTAATTCAGGCTCATAAAAATTTACTTATAAATAATGCCTCTTACATCAATCCGTTGACTTATTTAGATTGTAAGTAATTTAAAGTAATCACCAATTAATGCTTATAATATTTTTCCATCATAATGTAACTTATTTATGTAACTTAATTTAGTGAGTACGTATATCGATAATATATATTTATATAAAATCAGTAATTCAAGTTTAAATCTCATTAATTTATGTAATCAAATTCAGCGAGTAAGTGTATAAATAATTTATCAGTTTATAATATATATATAACATCTGCAAATAATTATTCAATATAAGCATATCACTCGAATAATACTTATTCGTTTCAATGTAGTTTGTGAGTATAAATTCATCTTTACATATTTAATATCATTCATATAATAAAGTATTTACTTTTCAAATATTTCATTCACTTTAATTTAGCCTGTGAGTAAGAAAAATTAATTATAATTTAAATGGCTATAAAAAAATTGTCAATAAAAAAATTTGTTTTGTTAATTTAGTTTGTGAGTATTGTAATAAAGTAATTGAGTGTCATTAAGCAAAATAATAAACCTAAATTGTTTATAAATCTTTATTCATTATATTAATATTCATAAAAATAGCGTGTAAGTATGGTTGACTATTTATTGATGCATACTTAAAATTAACAAATTTAAATTCAATATTTTCATTAATTCAGTGTGTAAGTATTGGCATAAGTGTCGATTATTGTTTACAGATTTTAAATTTATGAAAATTTACCAGTAAAAAAATTCTCATTCATAAAATATAATTAGTGAGTGAGTATATTAAGATTATTTATTAACAAACAATTAACATTTCTAAATATCTATTAATTGGCATGAATTCATATTAGAGAGTAAGTATATTTATATACCTAATTTTGTAATATAATTTACCATCACAAAAGTAATCATATTCGCATTTAGCTCGTGAGTATAAAGATCAATTAAAACATTTGCGCTTAAATTAATAATTCATTTAATAAACTTTAGAATTAATTTATTAGGACGTAAGTATAAATATTGAATCCAACAATTAAATTCTATTAACAAATAATCTCTATCATTTTTAGTTAGTGAGTATAAATACTTGAGGTCAGATATTTAAATCAATAAAAAAATATTTACCCTATTATATAAACTATCAAATCGACTATTTAGCTCGTGAGTAAAACGGTCATTTATTAATCCACTTTAAAAGTTTATGAATAATTTATACCTCTCAAATACATTTATTCATTTATTCTGATTAATTTAGTATGCAAGTAGAAGATTATTTTCACCATATTAGTATATATTTATACGTATAAAATTCCATGTTTATACTAAATTTATTATAAACTATTCATGTGGATTAGTCTGTGAGTTCTGTATAATTTTTTTGTATATTTATTTGAGATCAGAAATTCATGAATATTCTGTTTACTAAACTTAGCACGTGAGTTTAATTATCGTTTATTTAATTACGTGTTTAAGTCCATAAGTTCGTAATATTAACTATGAAATAATTTTATAAATTTAGCAGGTAAAAATATAACGGTCTTATGTATGCACTAATATTAGCAATTTATAAATATTTATTAACCGATATTTGTTCATTTAACTTAGCTCGTGAGTATAAAAGATCTATAAAAGATCGTTTATTAATTTATATAGGAGAAATCTGTGAATCTGTCGTGATTGAAGTTGTAACTGAAGTTGAAACTGCCTAAAATTACTAACTAACGTGGGCAAGGAAGTTCTAATTTCAGGTGTTAAATTTACTTAGTGTGCCTAAATTGGTAACTTCAAACACACAAATTGATTACGTATCATAATTTTATTTTAACTGAATCAGTCCTATAAGGAATCAGATTATTTTAAACATTCATGCAATGATATTTAGACCAATTTTACTAACACATTTTATTTAATCATTATCACAAAGGGTAAAAATTTCACAATTTATTAGTAGTAAGTATATATGAACAAATTGTTACTCTATTTGTCGAGTCGGGAAGTGAACGTAATTGTGCCTAAAATATGTTCAGATTCCCATCCTCTCTCTTTTTTTTTTTTTTTTGCTTCAATTGGTTTGTTGTGGTAATCTTCCAAAGAATGAAGTGAAAAATGGGTCAGTAAAATCGGCCACTAGCTATGTCAATTTTTAGAAATCTAAATCCGTTAATATGAGATTCACAGATTATCTTATATCAACCATTTGCACTGAACAAATTATTTGATTGCCTGTAACACATTCATTAACTATATAATATTCATGTTAATTTAGTGAGTACGTACAAAAATCGTTTGATATAACTTTTACATACGTGCATAAGTTTATAGAAATATATAAATAATCAACTCATTTATGTCATATAACGCTAGTACGTAAGTACTGTATATTATTATCTGTACACTTAAGGGTACTAGTATTCCTACACATTTTTGATTTTTCCGCATCTTGTATATGATAAATGGGTCTACCACAAAAGCCCAAAATCCAAAATCCCGACATCCAAATCTCGAAACTATAATCCCGGCGTGACAATTAATATTTAAAGGTTAATAATCACATTATTAATCACATTAATAATCACTAGACCTTAATTTTTAACTGTCACGTCTCGTGATGTCAATATTATGGCTTGTCGAGTTTTTGGATGTCGGGATTTTGTTGCAGCACCGGTAATTTTATGTCATTACAATCATTTACGAGGTGACCTTGATAATTGAAATACCAAACTCGATAATTTTGTTTGTAAATACATTATTTACTCAATCTACATTAATTTAGCCTGTGAGTATAAAAAATTATACTTTACGATAATTTATGTATTTTACAAATATTCGGTTACTGTATTCATTTATCGTTTTTTAATTAAGCCGGTGAGTATAAAGATCAAATTCTATATCAAAAAAAAAAAAAGATTTATTATTAAGCGACATTATAATTTAAATAAGCCGGTAAATATAAAAATGAATTACATTAGAGTTTCATTACAATAAATGTAACAATAATATTGAATCATTAATGATTGTAAAGGCATTCATCTTACGGAACATGTACCAATTGCAATCAATACAATACAGAAGTATTATGGTGTCAAACATGTGATCCAGACCTGGAAACTCAAAGATGGACTAGTAGAAACAAAAATATTGATGATTGCATCAAAGAATTTCAACTTAGAGCAATATCATATGAAAAAGTTATTGAATGGATCTCATTTGACAGATTGGTTAATATTAAAGAAATTGGTAAAGGGGGATTCAGCACTGTATTCGCAGCAACATGGTTAGATGGTATACGACAATGTGATCATGAAAAAGACTCTAAAAATTATAGAAAGATACGCGAATCATTTAGTAATGTTGCCTTAAAGACACTAGGAAATTCTAAGGAAATTTCTTCCGATTGCTTAAAAGAAGTAAGTTAAATTAATTTATTGTATATTTAGTGACTTATTGTACTAATTCACGTATTAAATTATAAGTTTACAACTCATATGAAATGCAATTTAATGGGCAGTAGACTTCATGTATATGGATTGACTCAGAACGTAAAAACTAATGAATATTTAATGGTATTTCAGTTTGCGGATGGTGGAAATCTGCATAAATTTTTAAATTTAAATTTTGCTGAACTTAGATGGGAACAGAAACTACAACATCTCTTATATATTACACTTGATTTAGTTCAAATTCATGACGCAAAATATGTTCATGCTGACTTTCACAGTGGTAATATTTTACTAAGTCAAGGCAAAAATGAAAATATGCAATCTTACGTCGCAGACTTGGGATTAACTAGCATGAATGATGAGCATAATTCAGCAGATGTTGTCTATGGTGTTATGCCTTATGTTGCACCAGAAGTACTGTTGGGTCAACCATTTACATCAGCAGCCGACATCTATGGTTTAGGCATTATTATGACTGAATTTTCAACCGGAAATAGACCTTTCGACGGTTATTCATTTGATGCTAAGCTTGCAATAGAGATTTGTAATGGTTTGAGACCAGGATTTAGTCCTGAAACTCCTGAATCCTATATTAAATTGGCAAAGAGGTGCATGGATTCAGTTCCACAAAGACGACCTACTGCTAGAGACATTTATTATACCATTTATAATTGGTATACTTTATTGTCTGATCCAGAATACGATCCAGAAATTACAGAAGATATTAATGATAAAAAGCAATTCATAGATTCTGATAATATTATCATCACTTTGCCAATTATCTCATTAAAACATCCGGATTTTATGTACACGAGCAAGAGAATTAGCACACAAGAGATAAGAGACAAAATTCGCACGCAAACAATAAATACAGATGAAGGTATTGCTGTATTAAAATATTCTTATTACTGTATTAGCTGTAAACGTTATGCTAAATTATTTTTTCATCAGAGTTGGATCTCGGAATCCTGATTTGATATCCTGTTATTTGTCTAACTCTATTTACGTATTTATACGGTAATACTGTATCTCAGTATATAACGTACGTACGTACATATTAGCAATTAGTGTATGCAAAAATATGTAATTATTAGGGATGTTTACTCTATTCATAAATCATTTTTATTATAATAAATATATTATTATTGTTTGAGTAAAAATATTGCATATTTTATTCGATCGCAATCAAATTATCTTCGATATAATTCTGCCGCCCTGGTTGTAAAACCTTTAAACCTCAAAGATTTGAATTTGGTTAATAAAAGTGCATTTCTATTAATAATGACAAATTACCTGTCATTGACGAATTGACGAAACTCCCTTCATTGACAAATAACGAACCTTTCGACAAGCAATTCCTAGTAGACAAATTGGCGAATGACAAAACCTCTAACGATTGATAAAGCATGAAATTATTAATTTTGATTTTTTTTGGCATATTCTCCGATATTATCCAACAATAGCAATAAATACCTGAGTATATCAGACATATTGACAAAGAAAACTAATAAAAAATGTTACTGGCGTCAAAATTCTATAAATGCATTCTTACGATCTTTTTGAATTTTTATAAAGTCCTGTGGTCGACTTTTTTTTTTATAACCAACGGATGAATCGTAAAAATTATTAATTCAGATGGGCCGATAAATCTAATAAATAGAGCAATGTTGAAAACATTCAAATTTTAGCATATTTTTTTGATATTTTATTTGTCATCGATCGGCATCAATTGTCAATGGTTAGAAGTTGAAACCGGTTTGTTCAATTCGACTTTAAATTCGAGCTAACTCTGTTTTGGTTTAGTAGTAGAAATTTAGAATAGAATAAAAAATTGCCAACAAGATTATAATTAGATATTAATATAGTAATAGCAATAAATAAATAGAATAATAGAACAATATAATAGAGCAATAGAAATTAGAATAGAATATAATTTTTATCAATAGAACAACACTAGTTTTATAGTATATAATGTTTTAATTCGATTATAAACTCTAATAAATTGATTTAATTCGGTTTAAATTCAAACCAACTGTTTTTTAATTTCCAAACTCTATCAAGAGTTTGTCGGATGAATACATGCGAAATCACTTCGCTATTGCAGAAATAAATGTTTATTTTCAATACGGATTTTACTAAAATGCACCTATGGTGTTTTGCATTATCTCAAAAACTGGCCAATTAACCAGTACGAGGTGTTCTAAGTAAAAATGTTATATTCCCCTGAAAAACACTTCCCAAACCCTAATATTAATATAAAAACTAACCCTAATGTGAAAATTTTAAATCAAAAATTTCTATAACAAAACTTATAAAAACTTAGAAAATTTTAAAAAAATAATAAAACATATAATAGGTGCAAAACACCATAGATGCATTTTATAATAATTGTTCAACACCTAAATTATTTTAAAATTTATTTTGAAAATACTAAAAAAAATTATATGGTCAAATCCTCTGCACTTTTTTTTCAAAATAAATTCACATCTTTCAATTGACCAAGATTCAAATCTACTCTTACATAACATTGCATCAATTAATTAATAATACGTTTTGTTAGTGTGTCACTTATACTGCAAAAGATGAATACAATGGTTATAATCCTCTATCTGATATAACTGATGACAGGCAAAAAATTTCTTATAAATCAATGAAATGAAGCGACGGATGCATTATCATGAGCATGGTCAAGAATGTGCATGTACGTACATACATTGTAACTATTTTCGTGACAATTTTTAGCTTCATGTTTTATAACGAATTCTGCTAAAAACGAAAAGCAGATTTTAAAATGGATCAAATCGTGCAGAGCGAATTAGAAGCATCTTTTAAAAGTTAAATTTACGCTAAAATTTATTAGGAAACTACTATTTAATGACAAATTACATGACATTCATTTAACTATTATATTTATAACAGTAAAAAAGGCTATCTGTTTTACTAAATATAACTAAATATTAATACATATCAAATTTACATAATGAAGAAACTAATTAATTTTTTGGTAGTTTTTCGTTTATTAAATTCTCGGTAAATTCCCAAAGTCTTTTAGCCAAACCATCATCTTCAGCAAATGAAGATCGTTCACTTTCTTTACCAAATGGTTCAAAATATTTTGCTCGATAATTTTTTTCTTCGATTTCTGGACTT